ATCCGGAATGCATGCCATTTTCCATTACAATAACTATAAAAGCTCCTCTACTTGATTTTCACAATGACAACAACCTTTGTTTCAAACCAACCCATCCTACACGATTCTTATATTATTATAAATGTAATTTTTTAGTGCACTCGATAATAATCTTTTAATGTTTATATTATTATAAATTTAATTTTTTAATTGATACATATTATATTATATTATACATAAAGATAAAAAATAAGGATGATTCTTGTGCGCTCGACGAGCGGCGACGAACGCTAATAACGACAAACACCAATAAATTAAATTGTAAAACACTAAAAATATAAGGTACTCAATGTTTAATGACATCAAACCAACATTCTAAAAAGACGAATCATGTGAATCATATGTATCGTACCGATACACAACCTCAATATATCGGTACACGACGTTTAATTTTAAAAAAATAACTCGCAATTAAGGTATCGATACGCTGTCGCTCGAGTATCGATACATATGATCGGTGTACCGGTATGCCCTACACGAATTGCAGTTTGGGAATCAGAAATTGGATTGAAATAAATCAGTTTCAACGAGAAAATTAAGGATCAATTGTTCAAATCGGGGTTCTAGAAAGGGAGATTTGAAAATCAATTAAGGAATTTGGGTTATACAATGGAAAAATTTTAAAATTAAGGTTAGGTTAGGGTTTAGGAAATATGGGATTAGGGAAAACAATTAGAGGGGAAAGTCTCACGTCGGCAACCTGCGGCCACTGTGTCGGTAAAGGCGCCGACAGCCGGTCAGCCACCACCCTCCGGTGATAGCTTGGAAGAAAAACAAAATTTGAATCAAAATAAAAGTAATATAGCTTACCTTAACGGGTTGTTTGCGCAAACAACGGTGACGACAATGATTCAATCAGAGGAGAAAGACGAAACCAACAGCGACAATGAGAGAATCAATGCTTATTTTTAAAAATAGGATTTTTTAAATTGGGGTTACTATTTGAACTAATTATGTAACACCTACAACTCGTATACTTATGCCAACACATGTTATAGATGTCACACGAATTACTTAAAACATTTTCCAAATCAAAAGTGATTAAAATTATTTTCTCAAAAATGTAGTTATTACTATAAAATATTAAATCACATAAAAATATCGCATAATATTTAAAACATTTATTAATATAATATACATCCCTTTATAATAATAATATTGATTCATATTATCCATAGTGAAATAGAGTAAAACAATTTAGTTTAGCCATTACAAACCAGTTCCAAAATATTTCAATAGAGCAACAAGGACATTCACAAGTACATGCCACTAACTAAGTTAAAATTACATCAAATGATGTCTTATTGATATTGTAATATACTCCTCGATGCTTGGTGTCGCTCGGTACTCCTTATTCGAACTCCTAATCTTTACCTACGCGTGAAAACCATCACACGTTAAGTATATACTTAGTGAGGCAATTAAAAATAATAAACAATGTAATACAACTCATGCATGAAATTTAATGTCTTTTTCCCATGCAATAAGATCACTTTACTAGTATGACCAATATTTTATCATAATCAAAATGACATAATATAAATATAATCATTTTTACCAATAACTATAGCCCAAAATTATTAATCCACGAGGAACCCGGTATAGGAGTCAAATATTGCACTATAGTGTTGAGGTCGAGCCTTGCTCACCTAATAATGCATAGTAGTGCTGAGGTCGGGCCTTACCCACCTAACTTGTACCATGTGTCTTCATTAGACACTTTAGTACTACTTAAATTTGCGGATGCTAGACTCTATAACATGACATTAATATTACTGAACCCTCAATAACATACTTGGGCATCTAGTCATGAATTAAATCATCCATGACAACGTATATTCATATAATTAATGTTAGGGCAGTTCATACCCGAAATAACATTCATGGCAAAATATCATATTTATCAATGATATTATGAATAATGACATAATATTATGATGATATAAACAAGGTAGACTCATCGTAAGTCTTCCTGATGATGTATAAAATATCTATGCATAATGTCATGCATGTATTGCACTTACTTTGACACTTTATATCAAAAGGTGTGCCTCACTATGTTCCACACTTAATCCGTTTATACTCGATTTGCTTCGATCACAAAATCAATTACGATATGTACAAAATCACAAATTGATATCAATACATATGTTAGTATTGTACTAATATAAATACATTTCCAAAATCAAAAATCCATAATTATACTTGAAACTTATTATCTACCAAAATACTTCAACACTTATTAATTCTTTTAATATTTGCACAAACTTTTCCGATTTACATAAAATGATCCTTCATCATTTTATCACTTAAATTTTAAATACCAAAACTCCATCATTGAAATTATTACCAACCAAGTACTTTTAATAAGGCACAATTATATTTAAGCACCTTAACTATTCGAATATTGCATAAAAATAACAAACTTTCCAAAGTTCCAAAATGATCAAATTTCACATCCTAACTCTCATTTAAGTTCCCAAACAGAACTTTTCAGCATAGTACATCAACTATTAAACAATTACACAACATTCCTCAACTTTTCCAAAATTGTCGATTTGGTCCCCCTACTTTTCAAAAATTACAGAATGGTCCCAAAAATTTTTCTAAGGCTTGTAGGATACTTCATATATCATTTCCAGCCCTTACATATTTTTTCCATAATTTTTATCATCCAAACAAGCTTTGGTTGAATGTTCTAAAAGTCTAAAACTAAGGTTTCCATGATTTTGCTCGATTTTGATTCGATTCAAGCATGAAATCAACTTTCATCTAACTTTACAACATCTCTACAATCAAAGCCCTAATCAAATTTCATCAAAACACAAAGTTCTCCAACTTTATAATTTGGCCGAATCTTAAAGAAAATTTCTAGGAAGATTGAACATGTTTTAATCATCACACAAGCTTAAAAATGAATCTACAACCTCAAAAAATCAAGATTTATCATCAATTTCATGAACCCTAATGTGAACAAAAACCCTAGAATTTGGGATCTTTGAAATCAAGCAAGATTAGTAAGCATAAATGGCACCAAAAGATAGTATTTCTCATGTAGAACAATTTTCTATTACACGGCATAACCCAAAATCCAAAGGAAATTGCTCAAAAATGGAAAACAATTTTTTCCTTACCTTTGGAGGGGTTCATGACAATGGAGAAGAAGATGAATAAGTTGGCATGAAATTTTAGATTAATTTCATGCTAATTTACCTTTAATTTAAGCTTTAATGAATATTAAATATATTTAATTGGGAAAAGATCAATTTACCCTTAATGAAACTTCATATTTACCATCAAACCAAGACACCTCAACCTTATCATCTTCCAAAAGTCAAATATGAACAAACAAATTCACACTTTACCGATTTGCCCTTGAATTTTCCCAAAAATTATAATCTTACCAATTTAATCTAACTGTCCAGATTTAACATGGAATTAAATCCTCAAATCCAATGGTTTATATTATTTTCCAACATTTTAAAAATGCGGAAATAATATTTTGAGGTCTAATTTATTATCCTTCAATTTTTTCTAAAATTTCTATTCGATCCGATTTACCGATTTTTTTCTCAAATTTTATCGTTTTATAACTTTTTATACAAAATCCGTACAAAATTTTTGATTCCCACATAAACATCATTTTTGAGGTAAACTATTTATTTACGGGGCCGGATTGTAACTTTTTAAAATTATCATTTTAGTCCTTGTTTTTTTCATATTTTATACTTTAGTCACTTAAATTTTCAAATTTTGCATTTTGGTCACTATCCAAAATTTGAGATATTATAAATTATATAAAAACAAACATTTAAAAATAATTAAATTAAAATTTTGATTTATTTAAAATTACGATTACATTTTTAACTAAAATATAATTATACGTTGAGTACCTTATACTTTTAGCTTTTTACAATTTAATTGTCGAGCACCGAAAATTTTCCAAAAAAATAAACAAGCCAAACCTACTTAAGCTGAAGCATTAAACGATGGAATTCAAACCAGACCCATATCTTAATTAACCCTAGTTTTTTTTTTCTCCCCAGCCTCAATTTTCAAATTTAACATAGTTTTCCAAACCTTTCTATTTTTTTTGGTTTACCCTGTCCCAATTAAAATTTCCTAATTGATTTTTTTAAATTTTAACATTATTTATTTTATATATTTTAATTAATTAATTTTAATAAAATAAATATATATTGTTTAGATTTAATTTTTTAATATATATATATATATATATATATATATATATATAATTCAAAATAATTATGTTTTTCATATAATTCTCTCATTATATTTCTAAAAAGTTAAGGTCTGATGTATAGAAAGAATAAACTTGACCACTTACAATTCTTACTCTACATAATTTCTATCTAGATAAATATAATCACCAATTAATTTTTAATCAGTATAGTTATAATAAAATCTAATTTAATTATTAATTAATATTTAAATCAATACGTAGCATTTGACAAATATTAATTCAAACTATAATATTATATACTTATTCTTAATAGGATATAAAACACGTAATATAATTAGAAATAACTTCAACGATCTTTCTGAAAAGAAAAGCAATTCAGTTGAATTAGGATGGGATTTTAAATATTAAAATAAAAACACAACATATTTTTATTTATTTGCACACTGCACGTATTTTAGCGAAATTTTGTTCCATTTTGCAGTTTTTCTTTGTTTGCCATATTGACGTGGACAATTCCGTCTCGAGACGGCCCTTTTTATATTTGGCGCCTTATTTCTTTATAGCACCATTCCTCCCCGAAAACGTCTCTCTCGTTTTATTGGTTCAACGACTTGAATATTATTTCCTTTGTTTTCACATCTTTTTCGCTCCGATAATTCTCTCTCCAAAATATTTATCCCTTCTCTGGAGTTTCTTAATAAACCCAACTGCGTATTCCTTCTTCAGACACGATTGCATTAAGAAACATACAAAAAAAAAAAAACATGATTCAAGGGAGTTACCGCATGCGAAACCTGGTTCAATCCTTACGGGTTGTTTCTTTTCCATCCAAGGTAGATGTTATATTTATATCCACTTTTCAATAATATATCTTTGGCGGTGTCTCTTGTTCTTGTTCCACTTCTTTTGTTTGCATGAAAACTTCGTTTCTTTCATTTTCTATTCCCTTCCAGAGTATCATCGGCACCGTTCTTTGTTCTTAGGTGGATTTTAATGATTCTAATCTTTTTTTGTTCGAACTTCGCATAACGATAATTGGTTTTTGTTTGCTCTTGTTTACAATAATCCAAGGATACCTAATTCGCCTTCAAGGCTAATACCGGAGAGCTTAATTAATCCTAGAACATCAACAACAGTATTTTTTTTACCGAATCCCAACGATTGAACCAGGGCAGGAATCAGATGCCCTACTGCTTTTTGAGTTCTAGCTGTTTTATATATTTCGAAGCCACTTGTTTTTACTTATGATTCAAACAGATAATAGTAGCCCACTTGGTCAATATTTTCCAAAAATTTAACATCTGAACAACAAAGGTTGAGCTAACTTATGTTTTGTATTTCAGGACTCAGGTTATCGTCCAAGATAATAGGTTTTTTTTTTAAAATGAAATCATAGTATGTAAAACGTTGAATTTAGGCTGCAAAGGTACAACTAATACGTTGTTTTATACATGTTTATAGCTTGTGAATTACCGAGGGCACACATCTCAGGCTGCTGCTGCTCTGCTAAAAGCGACTCAACCACCAGCTTCCAGGTAATTTCAGAAAACAGGGGATCCGCCATTTTCCCTACAAAATTGAACTAAAATGGACGCATGCATGTTTCTCCAAAAATTGTGTTAGGTTTTTCAAAGAGAAATTTTAAAAAAAAGACCGGAAGCCGTGGGAGTCGTCTTCATTAATGTTATGGATAAGTGCTGAATATTTTATTTTATTCCTAACTTTGTTTTGTTTTTTTTTTGTTTTTTCCTTCTAAAATACTATTAATTTGAAAATAGTGACGATGGGTACGCTAATGTGGACTGGGATAAACTTGGATTTGGTCTGACACCAACTGATTACATGTACGAAATGAGATGTTCCAAAGACGAAAATTTTAAAGAAGGAACACTGAATCGCTACACCAATATCGAAATAAGCCCTTCCGCTGGCGTCTTAAATTATGGACAGGCAAGCATTCCATTTTCCCTTTTCGCTCAATAAACAAATTATTCACTGTAGAGGGGGGAAAAAGCGTTGAGTTGACGACCGAACTGAAGAAACTTGCGAGATATTTCTCTTATTGCTGCTGCTGCGTTGGATGGGAATCCATTTACCGAACTTTTTCATTAATTAATAATTATATTTTGATTTACACGTTTGATGTGTGTTTAGCATGCAAGATTTGTCAAATCCAAATCTTTAAAAATCTAAACTTTGAGTAAAGATTGGATAAAGATGTTTCCTTTATTATTATTTGAAGAAAAAAAATGTCACTATTATGTTTTAGGCAAAATAATACAGAAAACTCTATCCAGGCTCCAGGGCTTATACGAAGGTACGAAAGCAAACCGGGCAGAAAATAATGTTAATGCCATCACCTTCCATTCAACAATTTGTCGATGCAGTAAAAGAAACTGTATTTGCTAACAAGCGCTGGGTAGATTTGATAAAACTGTGCTTCTCTTTCTATTTTCCCCAAAAAATTATTACTCTTACACTTCATTTTCTTCTTGCAAACTTATGAATTGATTCCATGATTTCCTGCAGATTCCTCCACCAGGAAATGGGTCACTGTACGTTAGGCCTCTGCTTTTGGGGACTGGTCCTATTTTAGGTTTGGCCCCGGCCCCGGAGTATACATTTATTGTATATGCTTCCCCTGTCCGCAACTATTTCAAGGTGGACTTTTTTATAATTATTCTCTCTTTGTTTTTTCAAGCCTTGGATTTCCAAAGAAAGGCTTATTTATGTTGTGACTATCCTGGATTCAGGAGGGTACTGCACCATTGAACTTATATATTGATGAAGAGTTTGTTCGGGCTTCTCCTGGAGGAGCTGGAGGCGTCAAGACAATCACAAACTATGCTCCAGTGCGTTACATACTTGCATTTCAATGTTTCAATATTGATTTTTTTTTGTAGAGTCTACTTTGTCATTAATTGTAAGTTCTACGAGACAGCTAAAGATAGGCACTATATATCCTATTGTAAATTTATTATGCCATTGTTACAGGTTCTGAAAGCAATAGCCAGAGCTAAAGAAAGAGGATTTTCTGATGTTCTATACCTTGATGTCTTGAATAGGAAGTATCTGGAGGAGGTCTCGTCTTGTAATATTTTCCTTGTGAAGGTATTGATGCTTTTTTTATTTCGGGCTAATACCTGGCCTATTATCACATTTTTTATAGGCTAAACTGATAACCAAAGAAACATATGACCATATCTTGAACATTTATAGGGCAACCATATCTCAACTCCAGCTACAAATGGCACTATTCTTGAAGGGGTAACTCGAAAAAGCATCCTCGGGATTGCTAGGGATCATGGCTACCAGGTGAATATTTGATGCTTCTTAAAACTTCAATGTTCAAATACTGCAAATAAGACAAGGACAGGATTTAATACGAGACTAATGTGTTCAGGTTGAAGAACGGGCAATTCCAGTCGATGACTTGGTTGATGCTGATGAAGTTTTTTGCACTGGAACCGCAGTCGGAGTTGCTCCAGTAGGTAGCATTACACATCAGAACAGAAGGTAACTGATAGTATTTTTTGAAGGAAAAAAAGGAACAGAAATGACCCATGGAAAACTGGAAGTCAATATTGTTGATCTGTTTGACCTTATATGTATGGATATTTGCAGAATTGAATTCAAAACAGAGGGTAGCTTGGTCAGCAAGGATCTATACTCAACTCTGGTGGGGCTGCAAACCGGTCGCATTGAGGATAAGAAAGGATGGACAGTCGAGATCCTTTAGGCTCTTGAAATTTTGTATAATTTGGTGTAATCATATATCAACACACTTTTTTAAGCTTGCAATCGATGCAATGATCGCAGAAGAAAACTGGCTATGGAAATCTGCTTATGAATAACATGAAAATTGGAAATTATATTTGGAGTATGATGGATTAATAGATTTCTGAAGTTCAATCTTCATATATACGTTAATTACTTGATAAATCCCAATTTATTTTGGCTGCCTTTATATAAATGCTATAACAATCTTTGTAAGATGGTAGTGATGCAGCAGGCTCATCTTAAAGATATATAGGCCTTACCAAGTGGGCTGAGCTTGACCGGCCCTTAACTCGTGCAACTCTACTCATCAAATTAGTAAAATCATAGATAAAGTACACAAATAGTCCCCTAACTACATGGTACTATTTTATTGAGTCTTTCATTATTAAAAATTATAAAATGGTCTTAATTATAAGGTGTTGCTTTGTTGGGTGTCTCAACTATTGAAAATTATAGGATGATCACTCGACTATTAATTATGTTCTAAACTCATCATTTTTTATTAAAAATGTGATAGTAGTATGAGTGGGAGTTAACCCATTAACTGAGATATTAAATTAAATGTTAAAATGTCCAACTATGCATGAAATCATTACCGATTACCCTATGAGTTCCAATCAAAAAGGCTTTTTCATAATTTTTGTCCTAATACTACTTTTTAAAGTCTTCAGCGAATGATAGTTAGTGGTGTCTTAACAAGAACAAAAATGCAGGAAAAAATATCAGAATTTAACATAAAAAAATGATGTGATGTGAAAAGGGGTGGAAAAAAATTATCCTTGAACAGAAAATGTAAAACAGCTTGTGCTGGTTCTTTTACATAAAAATCTTATTTTACAATATATATGGCTGTCAAACAGGTAAAATATAATAGAAGCTGGAGTAGAAAGTTGTCTTGAGCTGTACTAAACAACAAAATTGTCAAAGGGAAGATTGACTTTTGCAAAGTTGTAGGTCCGTTCAAGCTGCAACAAAAAGATGTTTCATGGTGACCTACTAATTTGACCTTCTCCTTCTTCTTCTCCGTCTCCGTCTCCGTCTCAATCTCCACATTTAAAAAAAAAAAATCTTCTTCTGGTAATAGTTTTTCTTTATTTCCCTTTTGGCAGCAAGGTCAAAAACGCTTTGGGTTCTGTAATTTTATGACGTCTTGATGATTTTTCATCCTACCATTATATATGATTTGGATTTCATATAAAATTAAGAGTTATTTATTGGAAAGAAAATGAAAGTGATGAAGGGTTTGGCTGCCTTCAAATATGACTGCACCACTACCTGAATAGCATCTGTCTTGCGCTAACCAAATTATGTAGTACTCTCATACATCGACAGCCAATGATTGTTAAGGTCAATCAAGGTGTGATGTTGACGCTTGGCCTCTTTCTCACCACTCCCATCTTCATCATTGTGCTAGTTTTTTTGTTTTTTTTTTTGTAACTTGTTTTTCATGCATGCATATATATTTCAAAATTTTATCAGTTTAATAGATAGAGTTGAGTTTATTGTATTTGTATAGTTTTCTTCCTAAATTATATTTTCTGAATGAAAATGTTTGAATTAATTTGCTGTCATGTTTCATTATTTCTCTCTTTTTTTTCAAGATTAATAGTGAAAATTTGATTGTCATTTATAGAGCTGTTCGATGGTGGAAGTGTGGCATTATCTGTTGTTGCCTTCACCAAGTATACGTATTAATCAGGCAAGCAGCCTAGTTCCTTATGCTGCTAAATACACTGCATGCATGTCACCATACAATCTGGTGACCTACCAAGAAAGAAAGTTCCTTCAATTGCTTTGACATATCAATTATATATTCTCCACATTTTTGTACAGCATTTTTCCACTGGATCATATAATATATAAATGTATCCAGCATAAGATTCCCATAAATGGACTTTGCAATTTTGCATCTAAAAAGAATTTGACATTTGTTCTCAATTTCAACCCTCTAGTTTAATTGACCATTATAAATCTATTTTTTGCTAAGATTACAACTCTAATGTTATACGAATTAAAATATAGAGGTGTTATAGTGATGAGCAAATACAAGGAAAATGCTGCGGCAATTTCTTATCAAGCCCTCTCATATAAATTAGTCACACCGTCTCTTTCATTGAGAAATCAATGAAATATATATTATGATTTTAGAATCTCAACGATAGTAAATATAATATTGCAAAAATAATAGAATGATAATAAATAATCAATCCTCTGGTTCTGGGATGAGTAGGATTGTAAGCGAGTCGAGTCGAGTTGAACTCAAGTATTGTCAAGTTTGACTCGATTCGAAAACTCTGAAATGGAGCTCGACTCGACTCGAAAACTCGCGAGCCTAAAATTTTCAAGCTCGAATTGAACTCGAAATCATGAATTGAATCTCATAAAAGCTCAAAATGAAAAAAAAATCTTAAATTTAGCTCGATTGAGGCCTCAAACTCTAACCTAAACTTTAAATACATAAAAATCTTATATTATATATTTAAAAAAAATCAACACATAAATGTTAATATTATTACTAATTTATTTTTGTAAAAATAAAATCTTAATATATTATATATTTTAGTTGTTCACTAACTTTTCGAGTCGAGTATCAAGTAGCTTGTTTTGGCTCGTTAAGTGTAACATCCCAAACTACGGGTTAGTGACTTTATTGTAAAGTTTCAGAATTTGTTGATTTAAATACGAATATTTCAGTTGGATTAAGTGGTGAATATGAAATAATTAAAAGGATAGTATGGTAATTTAGCTTAAAAGATATTGTCATCTCTCTATTTAGAGAGATACATGTGGAAGAGGAGATAATTCTCCAGAGTTATCTTCTCCTCTTTGTTCTTCATACGTGAGGCTTGAAGCATGAGGTGAGTTTTCTGATTTGTTGGTTATTTGTTAAATTAAAGGTTAGGTTTTGATCATTAGAAGATAACTAAGCTTAAGGAAAGCTTAAGTTGTCTTATAATCAAAAGATGAAGAAGTTATAAGAAATTAAAGAAAACGGGTTTTTATATGAAATTATGGAAAAGAGTTGATAAGTTGAATTTGAAGTTAAATTTGACTTGTCATCATGCTAATTAAGGAATATGAAGTGTTAGAATTGTATTTAGAACATATTGAAATTTTGAGTATGATTCTTGATTTACATATGAGGGATAGGATTTTGAGGTTATGAATGGTTTTCATGGATATAAATTGGTTTAAGTAATGGTGGTTAGGTTTAATGACATGGTAGGAGTTTAAAATAGAAGAATTGAACGAAGAATTGATGATTTTCGGGCTTAAAATACAATTTCTGGGTAGAGGGAACCGATACCCTATGAATGGGTATCGATTCCCCCTCTTGAACGAAAAATTCCAGTATGTTCAGGGGGTATCGATTCCCCCTGGGGGGTATTGATTCCCCCTAAATGAAAAATAAAATTTGGTTCTTTGATTTGGTTTATATTGTTAACAATTTAAGGTTTAGGATTCTGATAGTTGTTTTGAAATGTTATATTTATGTAGATATTAAGTCTAAAAAAATTCCGGAATAATCAAAGGATTATAATCGAATCAAAGCAAATAAGAGCATAAAACATAAGATATATGATATGATATACATGATTATATGCATATGTGATATATGCTATGAGACATGACCAATGTGAAATGAGATAAGCTATGTGATATGATATGAAATACATGGTTACACATACATGTGGTATGTGACAAAAAAGAAAGAACAAGTGATGAGAAATGTATTCATTGTAAATGCCCATAGTATATGATACGAGAGCTATAGGTATAGTTAGCATGCCAAGAGTCGAGGGTATTGTTGTCCTTCGGGACGTAGTGGTCCTACGGGACATATATAGTAGTCCTTCGGGACGAATACTGAACAAATGTTCGGTGCCCATGAGGGAATTTATACGAGCTGTAGTGACAACATTAGTGCACAACCTCAATGTACTCACATACCTTTGTTCTCAACAACAATATACATGGGCAATTGAAATATAAATTAAAGTGAAAGTGATGCAAAAATGTAAGTTTCATGTGTGCATGACTTGGTTATATATGTCATATGAAATATATACATACATATTGAAATATCATGATCAAATGGTAAGAATGCATATTCATGAATCTACTGTTACATGTTTATTTATTGCCTCACTATGTCTATAAGTTAGCGTGTAAGTGATTTACACGTAGGTACCAAGAAATGAGAAGAGCAAGAATAGAAGTAGCAAGGACAATATTATTACTAGAAGATCAGATCAGAAGTAATCGACAAAGTAGGTATTTTATTGTGTATAGAGTGTTGGCATGTAATAAGTCGTTAATTATAAGCACTCTGATCGAGTTTGTTTTTGTGGTCTCTTTTATGTAAATTAACGTATTTTGTTTTAAACAAAGTTTTAAATTCCCGGGGGTTTTCTTTAAGAGTCAAAGTTTGAAAAGTCAAAGTGACACCTCATACTCGTATTCGAGTCGGGTATGGGTTGGGGTGTTACAGATAATGGCATCAGAGCTAAGGTTTAGTCGATTCTCGGCATAAAACCGGAGTCTAGAGTGTTTTATAAGGTATACATGCCAACAAAATAGTGAAAACTTATGATATGATGGAATAGTAAGTATACTGTTATGCTAATAGAACTATATGATTATATTTTTATAGATGTCCGGACAAGGTAGTTCTAGAAATGAAGCAGGAGATGATATACCCGCTGAAAACAGTAATTCACCTGCCCTGGCCAGGCAGAGTGAAGAACAGACACCCTCTGGAGTGCCTGTGAATGATCAAGATGTATTCTTTAGAACTTTAGACGCAGTATTGACGCGTTTTCAACCTCCTGTTACTTTAACTCCAAAAATTAATGTTGCAAAAGAGTTGAAGGGTTTAGGAGCTCCAGAGTTTAAAGGGGAAGCCGATGAAGGTCTTGTTACTACGAACCTTTGGCTTAATGACGTGAAAGTCATGCTTGAGGGACTTCATTGTTCCGATGCTGAAAAGCTAGATGGAGTG